ACTACATTTGATTCTTTGGGATTACTTCTGCGCTCAACCTCATGATGCAGACACTGAGTTATCAAAATAAAAATAATGGTTGTCCAGGATGGAGTTTATCAGAGGAAGCCCAAGACAGCAGGGATTAGCACAACACTTGACTATGGCCCAGGCTGCCCCATGCTGATATGTTGCCTAGTTTTTTCTCTCCTCACTTTCCTTGTACTGTGTTCACTCCTCACAGGGATCACTGTGGATAAGGACCTTGTCTGTGACCTGCTCACCCTAACAGCTCCTCCCCAAAATTGGAAAGCAACTGTTCCTTCAAAAGTCAGATCTGACTGCATAAAACAGACTGCTCCTTAAGCACAGTTGGAAGATAAAACCTGAAATTGTTTGCAAATATGGGACAGAACTAAACACTACCAGCTTTTCAACATGGATTTCAAGGAGACTAGTTGTGGAAACAGTGATGCCTTAGAAAAATGAAAATATCTCAGTGTGGCCCCTCATCCAAAGCACTGAGGCAGAAATATCAGGGTAGGACAGAAAAGAGCATCAGAATGTAGGAGAAAAATGTAGGTGCAGGGAGACTTTGTCACAGTCAAAAGCTGCTGACTTTGTGCCCTGGAGCTTCTCCTGACAAACACTGCTCTGGAAGCTGGCTATCTTTTTGTAGATAATGTGGTGTCTGAATCATTACATTTAACACAGAAATAATATCTAACCATCAATTGTGGGTTGTTCTGATACCAAATGAAACACTCTATTCATAGTTTTTCATAACTTAGTGCTCCCTCCTCAGCTACAGGAATACAGAGCATAAATAGGTGGAGAAGGGTTTTGCCACAAAAGAAACATTGACATAAGCCATCATGTGTTTCTTTCCAGAATATGGTTGTGCTCACTTCTGCTAAAATCAACTGGAAGGTTTTTACTTTCTCTCTAAAAATTAGTGTGGCTATCAGGAAAGAGAACAACTGGCAAAGGCTTTTCTTAAATACAGCATGAAAACTCATTGAAGTCTATTGTCTCAAAAGAATTTACCGTTTCTGAAAATGCACTGGTTTAGAAAATGGAATCACAGCAGAAACAGGAAGCAGTATACATTTCTTTATGATTACGAGAAACATCGGACCCATGCTTTCATTGTCAGTGCAGCTGGTACGGTATGGCTTGTTGGTAGGTAGAAGGGCATAGGAAGTGCTCCTCCAGAGCAGGTCAGCCAAATGGAGTAACTTTACAGGGATCTTTGATTTGACTGAACTGACAGTGGTGCTGCTGCTGGCATTCAAATTACATTATTTCTTTGAATTTTATGTCAGGCTTTTTGGACACAGCAGTTCGGAGAAAAAAAAAAAAAAAGATAAATAATCGCAAGAAAAGACAAAGAAAACATGATTGTCAAGTTGCAGAAGAAGGGTCAAGAGAACCTATGTGAGATGAGGGAGATTTTCCTTGATAGTGTGTATTTCAGATTCATATTATTCTTTCAAGTGATGGGAAGCCTTTTTCTTCACAGATGCTCAGTTTGATATTTGCACATTGGCCAAAGCCACAGTCTAATTAATTTCAGATATTTCAAAACAATGGTTTCATATAAAGAGCCATTTAGGGTCTGTGGTTCACATTTAAAATGATAATCACTGTTGAATCAGTAACATAAAACCTGTGCTTAAAAAGTGTGTAATGAAAATAATATTTTTCATCATCTCTGATGATAATGTAGCTAATAGGGCTTTTTCTTCCTCTAACAATATATGCTCTAGGAATGAGACCGCCTAAATATCTTCTCTTTGTTGGGTTTTCTCACACAAATCTGAACATCTGAAAACAATGATTTGTCATGGGAGACGTTTGGCAGCCCGAGCAAAGGTTTACTGTTTCTACTTTGCCTAAAATATTTACAGAGAAAAAATATCTGACATTCACAGTAAATCAGACAGCGTTTCAGGCCCCTGACAGAGCTCACGAGAGGAGAAAAGGAGCGCCTGTGTATGGTTGAATTTTTGGTTGAGGGCAGAAACGTGAGATCTCGAGGAAAAGGGGGAGAATAGAACAAGGCTGAAAGAACCCAGAGGTAGCCCAGGTCTTCCCTTCCACCTCCTCGCCTCTCCTAGGAGGCCCGAGCGCCTCCAGCCCGTTCCCTCGGAGAAAAGCCCTCCGGACGCCTCAGCCAGGCGGCACAGCCACACCTTCATGGCCTCCGCCTTTGTCTCACGGCCCCACCCAGCCGAGCCCCGCGCGGGGGGCACAGCTCCTCGCCCCGCGGCTCCCCCCGCCGGGAAGGTGCTGGGAGGCAGCCCCGCACCCCCCCCCCCCTCCACCGCCGGCCTCCGCCCCGGGGCCTCGAGGCTCCGCGGGGGCGCCGGGAGCTTCGCGCCGGAGCCTGGCCGGACCCGAGGAGGGGGCGAGCGGGGCCGGGGAGGGGGCGAGGAGCCCGCGGCGGGAGGGGAGAAGGAGGAGGAGCGGGGGAAGGGGGTGGTTTCTGCAACCTCCGCTTTCTTCCCGGCTCCGTGAATGAGCGGCTCGCTCGTCCGGTTCCCACCAGGACTCCGCCGCTTGGGGGGATCGAGTGGGGAAGAACGGGAGTTGAACAGGTCTTGTACGTAAATAATCATCTCTTTCTCTTACCCACCGTGGAAAATGAGAGCCAAGTGATCGGACCTAAAGTTGCTCTGCACTGAGGTAGCCCAGGGGTTAAAGCCTCATTGCTTTGTGGTGGTGACCGTGGGCACAAGGTGTAACTTTACCGTCTAAAAATCCTGGTTGTATGCAGTGCCTGCACCAACTCTTCAGCTGGAGCATGGCACAGGAATGGCCAGATGCCATTACTTGGGCAACCCAAGCCATGAGAAAATCTGCTGGATTTAGACAGAACAGGGAGGCACTGATCTCTCTTTCCTTCCTTTATTAGGAGAAACTCTCCCATCTCCAGTGTTAGTGAAAAAGCGAGTGGAGAAGCAGGACTAGAGGCAGCTTCTGCTTTGTGATAGATTTCCTCCAGCCTGCTGAGGCCGAGGGAGGGAGAATAGATGAAGCTGAATGAGAAGGGTGGTGGGAGCTGGAGGAGAGATCTGATCAAGTCTTGGTTGGGCCCATGATGTCTCCTCACTTACAGTGACAAGAAGGAAAAACGCTTCATGTCCCAGGTTGCATTCCACTTTCTTTCCTGTGGCCTGGGATGGCAGCAGGGTCCCACCACCACCACTGGGAGCTGCACTGTTGGTGATGGGCCACAGGGGCTGGTACACAGGAGAGACTGATTCAGGCAGATGCTTGTGTTGCCAACTTCTCATAGAGCTCAATTAAAAGCATGAAGTGAATCAAGAATCTCACAGCACAGCTGGAGGAGGTCCAGTCCTTTGAGATGGGATGACCCAAGCAGCAGGGAACTGGAGGGCCTGGTGTCTGTCGGATAGGTGGGGGTGCGGCTGTGGAGGTGAGCATCAGCCACTCCTTGCAGCCCTTTCCAACAAGGAAACAATTGTGGGTTCCCCTTGTCTAAAGAAGAAAAAGGAGCAAACTCTGAGAAGGTCTGATAAGGATTTCATGCTACAGCCCAGCTCCATCACCCAAACCTGAGCTGCTCTGAGCCACCAGGTCTCTGTCTCCCTGTTTGGCTGTCATCTCCTTTACCTCCCATTCCTCCAGCCTGCCATGGAGAGCTGTACTTGGAAACAAGGGCTCTGTGCTGGTTTCAAACTCACTGTCACCAAAGTTCCAGGGACAAAGGGAGGGGGGGCTGGGGGGGGGAGGAACAGTAAGGGTGAGAGGCTCTGGAGAAAAACCCCTCCTGCTCACTGCTGGTGATGCTATCTGGGGCTGCCAGAAATGTGCCTGGAGCAGTGGATCAGTCACACCTATTTCTCCAGGCATCTCTTCCCTGGCTGCAGATTTGTACCATCCTGGAGGAGGGGGCTGTTGCACATGCTGCTGCCAGAGCTTGTGCCAGGATGGTGAGTCCTAAGTTTCTGCCACATAGTGAGATAGGTATGTTGTGGGGAAGGAGCTGCCTGAGAAGCACAACTGACACTTTATTAACTGGTGCAAGTCCCCTTTTGAAGGGTAGTTTAGAGTTCTGCTTATGACTTAATCTCCGAGAGGTCTGGAAAGAAAATGCAAAGGTTAGTCTTAAGGAAAAGAAAAAAAAAAAAAAAAAAAAAAAAAAGAAAAAGAAAAAGGAAGGAAAGGAAGGAAAGGAAGGAAAGGTAGGAAGGAAAGGAAATGAAAGGAAACGAATGGAGAAAAAAGAAAAAAGAAAAGAAAAGAAAAGAAAAGAAAAGAAAAGAAAAGAAAAGAAAAGAAAAGAAAAGAAAAGAAAAGAAAAGAAAAGAAAAGAAAAGAAAAGAAAAGAAAAGAAAAGAAAAGAAAAGAAAAGAAAAGAAAAGAAAAGAAAAGAAAAGAAAAGAAAAGAAAGAGGTTGGAGATGCGTAAAACAAAACTAGGGTGGAGAAGCTTTTGGCTCGGGAGGCTGCCGATGCGAGGCTGCCTGTGAATTGGCAGTACTAGGGGAAGTTTGGAACAATCACCCATATATTCTTTTATTGCAGCCTGTGCTGAGACTGGGGAGGCAGAGGGGAAAAAGGGATTTTGGTCCCAGCCACTTTCCCCACTGCAGCCGACTCCGGGAGCCAGAGCGGAGGAGGTCTCCCCATTCTCTCCCCGGTTAATTGTTTAATTGGGGAACAATGCTCCTCTCGCGCCCGCCTGCCCCTCTCTGCGGGGCTGATGCCGGTGTGCGGAGGGACCCGTGCGGGGCTCCCTTGCTCTCGGGGGGCTACGGGACCCCTGAGTTGCCCGCGGGGGCTGCGCGGCTCGGGGGCGGCGCAGAGCAGGGGTCTCCCGCGCCCAGCTGCTGGATGAGGGAGCTTTGCAATCGCGAGGAGGCTCTGGTGGAGCCTGAGAACCCTCCTCTCGCCCAGCCAGCGCCCCTCCTCTGCAGCGCTGACGGTACAACGATATAATAATGATGGGTGGCTGAGGCTCGCATTTGAACTTGCATGCGAGCTCCGGGTGCCCGCAGCTCGGCGCGGCTCGCAGGCAGGTGCTCACCGGTGGGAAGGGAGGGAGGGAGGGGAGGCTTGGGTCGAAGGGGAGACCCCCGGAACCAGCACCTCCTTCCAGCACCAACCAGGGAATTTACTCTTTCATGCGGCCACTGGGATCTCTGGACTAGCCTGGCCACGGCGTTGTGATTTTTTTTGCAATCTCTGCAATACGCTACCTTTTAAGGTAACTATAACTCTTTTTAACGCGCTTTCCCCTCACCCCCTCCTTTACTTGTGGTCTCCGGTAAACACCTAGCGTGGGGTTTAAAGCGATCGTTTCGCTGTCGGTACCTGTAAGGACAAAGAGTTGAACGGCAAACCTTAAGCGGGAGAGGATAGTAATGATTGATGATTTTGAACAACCTGGGGTAAGTTCAGCGACAGCCGGGGAAGAGAAGGGATGCCCGGGCACTCAACGAAACCTCTCGGTGCAAAGAGGAGAACAAAGAGAACTGGGCAATTTTGGGGTGGGTGCCCCAGAAGTCTTCGTACCGGTTGCTCGGGAAGGTAGAGCTGCACCTTGGTGTGCGATGGGGCACTTTCTTGCCCGGGGGAGAAAGAAGAAAGCTATTTCCTACGGGTACTGCAGACACAAAGCGCTCGTGCAGCAGGAGAAGGGAATGGCCAGAGGGAACCTTTCCGGCCACCAGGTTTCCTTGCGTTGGAAAAGCGTGCGCTCAGCCTCCTCCGCCCTTGTGTGCTCCCCACACCCCACCCCACCCCCCACCTTCTTTTTTTTTTTTTTCCTCATTTTTTCTTTCTTTCTCTTTTGTCTTTACTTCTTCCTTCTTTTTATTTTTTTTTTTTTCTTCCTTGTTTCTGGAAAGCTTCTGCCAAGACAGAGTGGGGCAGAGGCGCTCGGGTAGCAGCATCTATTCGGAGGAGCCGGAGAACGGGCACCGTCCGAACCACATTTCCACGGCCGGGAGGGGCTGGCAGGGGACGCGGAGAGAGACCGCGGGGTCAGCGGAGCAAAGCAACGCCTCTAAAGCCACGGACGGCTCTCGGGGGCACGGGGCACTGCTTTCCCCCGCCGCCCTTCGGCTTTTCGCCTTTGTGTCACAAAGAAAGTGAGAGAGCATCGCGGAAGGAATTAAGGGAGTTCCGACGGCGGGAAAAAGAGGGTCTGTGTGTGCGGTGGGTGGGTAAGGGGGGCTTGCCGGAGGGTCGGGCACCCACTGCAAGGGATGGGGCCCCGCGTACAACCTCTGTCCCTCCATCCGCCCCCACGGGCGGCCCCGAGGTGACTCCGCCACACAAAGGGGCGACGGGGCGCGGGCCAGCCCTCATTGTCCCACTTGTCACGTCCTCCCGGCCACCCCCATTCCCTTCGGGCACAGGGATTAAGACCCAAAAGCATTTTTTCTCCTTTTTTTTCCTCCTTCCCCCCCCCCCCCCCCCCCCCTCCTTTTTAAAGGAATGAAACGTGTTGCAGAAACCCATCCCATGACAACTGGAGTGTAAATGTTGGGTGGTTTTTCTTTTAGGGGAAAAAAAAAAAAAAAAAAAAAAAAAGGAGAAAGAAGGAAGTTTCCTTCCAAAAGGGGATGAGTAAGACTTGGCTGCGGGCGGGGAGCGCTGGCTGGGGCAGCAGGGCGGACCCCGGGGACGTGCGGATGGCCGGAGCGGGGGCAGCCGGCGGGGCTCACCAGCAGCGCGCTGAAACCGCCCCCGGGGCCCCCTCCCACGGAGCTCCCCGCGATGCCGAGAGCGGCGGCACGGCCGTACTCCGCTGCGGGGCCGGGAAGGGGTCCCGATGCCACCGGGCGCGGCTCCGCCGCTCTCGAGGAACGGGACGGGACGGGGAGCGGCGGCGGCAGCGTTATGGCGCCCCCTGGCGGCGACCGGCGGCGGGGCGGGGAGCTGTGGTTGTACGAGTATTTAATTTCCCGCCGGCGGCGTTGCTCGCGTTCGGGAGGAGAATGGAGAACGATAACGGGGATAAAATGGTCGCCGTGCGCCGGCGGGTGGGCGCGGTGTGACAGCAAGGCGGCACCGCCGTGAGGCGGGGCGGCGAACGGCGCCTTTCCCTCCTCTGGAGGGGGCTGGTGGTGCGGGGCCAGTTCGTGCCCGCTGCGGGGCAGCGGGGATCCTGCGGAGCTGCTCCGAGTCAGCCGTCGGGGCACTGCTGGCTCAGCAGCCGCCGTCGTGCGCTTTGTTTCTAAGAGTGCTGCTAATTTTATGCACTGAGGGGTAACATATCCTGCGTTGGTAACGGCTTTCACAGACCGAGCCAAGCGCTCCCTCTGCGAAGAGGCGGACATGTTGCGTAAGCGCCTTAATGCCCACCTCATGGCTGCAGCGCCTGTCCCTGCCCGGCCAGTCCTGCCACCTTCTGCACTGAGGGTACCGGGGAAAGAGCGACGTCAACTTCCTAGAGTGCCTGGTAGCTGAGGCTCGGGCCAGGTGCGCTCGGCTCGGCCTGGAGGTGCTGGGAGTTAGGCAGAGCTGAGTGAGGCTGAGCCGCCCTGCTTTCCTCGGACAGCTTCCCAACACCTCTCTGCATAGCTGCCTGCCAGCCCAGGGCTGCTTCTGGCTTAAATTAGTGCAGGCCTGGAGGGATGTCCTGAGGCAGCAGCAGGTTGCCCACAGCTGCCAGCATGGGGATCACCAGAACACTGCTCTGGTCACTCTCCCGTCTGTGCTGCTGTTTGGGGCCACCAACTGTGCTGCTTGCCCTCTGGGGTGAGGGGAGTGCACCTTGGGTGAGGATGCAGCAGATGCCCCACAGCCTTTTTGAGGACCATAGTAATTCCTTTGGAAGTGATAACAGGCCAGCAGACAACGATGATGAGTTAGATGGAAGGCGAGTTAGATGGAAGGCGAGACAACGATGAGATGAGACAACACAGTGTGCTGATTAATCACACAGCAGAGATGCAGTGAAACTAGCAAAGTCAATTGAACGGTACTTACAGTGAAGCTGGTATGTGTTGGCAGTTAACAGTCAGATGGCATGAAGGAATCAAAAGCCTGCCAGCAGAAAAGGAAGTGCAGAGCCTTAGAACAGACATCAGCTGAGAATGTCCCAGTGCCTGGTGCTCAGGAGGCAGTAGGAAAGGCACTGCATCTGGGCTGCACTGGAAAGTTATGCAGTTTACTGTTTTTCCCATTAGTAGGTACAGTAACTTCGACTTATGACTCTAGTATCAGGTTCTCTTAGATGTTTCTCCTCCTCCCCCTTACCCCTCCCCCCCCTTTTTTAAAAAAATTATTCTTTCTTGGTATGAACCTTACTTCATTATATAGGCAAAGAGGTTAAATGGGCAGAGACTACTTTCTTCATACTCAACATACAACTCTGCATCTCATACAACTGCAGAACATGTGCTGAATGACCTGAGAAGCTGCAGCCTTTTATGACAGTTACACTAGGACAGCAGTTAATTTCTCATTTTTCCTACTTTAGGGTAACCTTTTGTGTTACAGATATGATGTTCTCCCTCCTGGTTAAATTAAAATAGCATTGGTGTGAGATCAAGCTTGCACTGTAAACTAAGCACAAGCTGGAATTTGATCAGAATTTACTGCTCCTATGACACTCTGCTGTTGTAGGGAAAGGAGCAGCGCCTGCAAAAATAGGAGCTCTGTTCTCTGCTCAGAGGGAGAACCCCCACCATTAGTTTTCAAAGATATAAAGTTTATCAGGAACTTGGTGACTTTTGCTTAAAACTCAGATCTGCATTCAGTTTAGAAATGTGATGCAAATGACTGCTATGAATCAGTCCGTGAGCAGCAACTCCAAATGAAGTGGACCAGTCCAGTTGGACTCATGCCAATGGCAACCTGAGTGTGGTCACATGAATTAAGATGCTTTTTTTTTTTTTTTTTTTTTTTTTTTTTAATAGGAGGTGGAAATTAAACACTTTCTCAAATCATGCAGCCTTTAGTTGGCAGAACTTTTTTGCTCTGTCTGTAGTGTTATGGCTTTCTCTTCCTCTAGGCGCAGCAACACCAAGGGAAAAAAAAAAAAAGCTCATGGAGAAGATATGACTGGAAAGAGCTTGGCTACTTACTGCATACTTAATGCTGCAGCCAGCCAGCAGAGGCTTCTGTAGAGGGCAGGACTAGAAATACAAGACACTCTTAGAGCAAAGATTTTGTTGCAGGAGCAGTCCCATCTGATCATAGTTTACTGAGTGGCTGAGGCACTGGTTGCTAGCAGGCTCCTCTGCCTTGCAGGTTGCTTTTGAGGGAGATTGGTGCATGCCAGGAGAGGCCCATGTGCTCTTTCCAGGCTGGGCTGGGTGTTGCTGTTTGCATCTGCCCATTGTTCCTCAGACAGGGTAACAGGGCAATTTCACATTTAATTCTGGCAGCTGTGGTAGAGCAGCACTTTGTAACCCAGGAGTGTTTGTAGGAACCCATGGAGGATCAGGCTGTGAAAACTCTCATGCATGGCATATTGCATGGCAGTTGTGCTCGTGATGCTCATGAACCCAAGATTTGAACCCTTCCCCCAGCATTTTTCATTACTTAACAGCCTTATGGTGGAGGATATCTAGAAAATTGTGTGAGAGAAGATTTTTGAAGTGCTGGGTGGGGATTTTTGGCAGGTGTCTTGTATTAAGCTCTGTGGTCATGTACAGTACATTTTGGATTTTTTATTTTTTTATTTTTTTAGCTGTGTGAGCTCTTACTATAGCAAATAGCAAATATAATTTTATCAATCCTCATCACAAGGCCAAGTCAAGATCCCAACCATGAGTGCTCTAATGGTTTGATACCACCTGGTCCTCAGCAGTCACAAGGTGTCTTCGAAGTCATCTCTCTGCAGTTGTCTTTTCTGTTTCCACATTTCATTTTGAGTATATGGGGTTTTTTTCATCATTCAGGGCTGAAAGCTGAAAATGTTTTTACAATGAGATTCCTCAAACTATGTTAAGAGTGCTGTAACCAGCAGTGTGCTGGAGGCACGGCACTCTGTGCTTGTGTGCAAGGTGGGCAGGAACGAGAAGGTGAGATCTTTCATATACCCACTGCAGCTGACTCTCAGCAGCTCTGCAATATGGTGGCAGGTCTGGTGGAATTACCCGCATATGGGACTGGTTGCATCACTTTGTGTCACAGTACTCCAGTGAGTTTCGGGGGACACAAGACCTTGCACAAGTGCACGTTGTCCACTGACAGAGGGGCAGCTACTGCAGAGGAGCATGCAACCCACCCTGCTTAGGTGCTGCATACCTGTCTTCCTAGAAAGTCATTTATTCCTTTTCCATTGTGAATTTGTTTGATCCCATTGTCCAGTTCCCTTGTTTCTGGTCTCAAAAGCCACAGTTGCCTACTAAGGGAGAAGGGATGTGCAGTGCATGGGTAAACATGGAAAGCTGAACTTGTAAATAGTTTGTTCTAGACTTTTGTTTAACTGTTTGATGCAGCCAGTGCGTGACACATGGGAAACATGTGGACAGAACAGCTTGCAAGATCTGGAACTACCATGTCTTCAGAATGGCCAGAGCTTTTGCATTCACCGTCTTTGAGGTTGGAGAATACTGTAGATCTCCTTTGTGTGCTGCCTTCATAGTACTTGTTTTGCTACAGGAGCTAATTGGCAACGGCCTTGGTGTTTTACAGTGGTCTCAGGACACAAAGGTGCTTGAAACATCTTCTGGTTTCAACACATCTGCAGTCTCACAGTGACCTCTCATTTTCTGAGACTTTGTGTAATAATAGGGATCACTTGAGCATTTATTTAAGAATATGTGGCTGCCTTTATTTGAAAATTGTCCCTCTGAATTCAAAGCACTCTGATGTCTGCAGCTCTTACCAAGTGCAACCTTCTTACTCTTGATAGTGTTCTGCGGGAACATAATATTCTGAAGCACAGTATAGGTTTTTAAAATTAGTTGTGAAATAAACACGTGTATTCTCCATTTGCTGCTTTGCTTATGTTAGTTGGGAGAAAGATAAAACCAGCCAGTTAGTGTTTGAGTCCTCAGAAAAAGCTTAGTGGAGGATGGGGCTCAAACTGAATAAAGTCAGAGACGTCTTGGTTCATGTTTGGGACTGGCTCATAAAATGTGCAGTTTCTGTGAAGTTAATATTGCCAAATCAGTGATATCACATCGTGCTGTGAGCTCTGTCAAATGGATGAAGCAGAAATGAGGCGTCTTTGGCAACATGCAGCCTGCTCCATGGAAAGCAGCTGTATTCTTTCCTCCACGCCCTGGGAATAGGTTGCAGCATATGTTTCCCAGTGCAACCAGCCAGCCCTGGCCATCTGCATATGGGGAATGAAAATGGCTTGGATTTTCAACCCTTTTGGGTGGGAATTTTGAGCATGATGCTGCTATGTTAGAGACTGCCTCACTGGAAACTCTTCATTTGAGATGTTTTGCATCTTTTCTGAACCATTCAGCGCTTACAGGTCAGGTGCCAATTCACACAGATTCATGTTAAGTATGGGCTGCAGCTGTTACCGGTGTAGGGAATTTTCCTGGGATTGAACACATCATCAGTAATTTTTTGAATTTTTTGAAATTACTGCATGTTTCACTTTTGTGTTCAGTATAGCTTATGGACTTTTGTGGGTTTATTAGTTAAGGCTTTGACCCTACAACGTTACATATAAATACTAAATAACTAAAATGCTAATGTAAAAAATGTCAGAAAATGTGTAAGTAATACAAGGTTCATAGCAATAACATAGATCTCTTTAATCCTTATTTTGCTGTTGAGCTGTAATCTATTTTAGAGTTCAGATTTCTTGCCTATTTCCAAGCCAAGTAGTGTACTTTGACAGCAGTATCAGGAAACTCACTGTTCTGTGACTTAAAACTTTTCAAGGGCATTTGACAAATCATTGCTGAGAGCTATTCCTTAAGATGCCTCAGTAGTGCATATATATGACTGTGTGGGGAAGGAACTGTTTCTAAAAGCATGGTGGTGGTGGATCGGTGGATGGGCTAACTGATCTTAGTGGTCTTTTCCAACTTTAATGATTCTATGTTTCCAATAGTCGACATTTATGGGAATTGTGATGGTTTTGCTAGAATGCTTCTTAAGTTTGCAGGATAATTGCAGATGTGTAATTAGAAACTGAAATAAAAATGAGAACATACCATTATGAACAAGCAATGTATTATGTATGTGTTATATATGTTTTCAGCTGTGAGAGCATGGAGCCTGTAAAAGGAGCAATAAGCAAACACAAAGGGGATTGACACATTTGTTTATTACTGCAGACTCAGTAAACTGAAATTCAGTATGAATTAGTATTTTATAGTCATTAGAACTGCCACTATAATAAATCTCCACTATGAAATAATACATTCAGCAGTTCTAAAGCAGGACTTTTGTAGATGGAAAGGGTAATAGTGCATAGTGCAGATGTTGCTTCACGCTCAGAATTCATGAAGTTATTGTGGGAGCCTCTTTTAAACTTAATAAACTTTTAAAGGTTATTTGCTGATGCTAATTGATAGGGCAGTCTATGTTATGGATGCAGATCTTCCTGGAGGCTGCATCTGAATTGGCAGCTCTACAAGAGGAATAAGTCATCATGTTCTACTTATGGACTGCTGTTGCTGTGTGGTATCAGATTTAAAACAGTGTACAAAATGGTGAAGATCAGAATATTATTATTCACTGTCCTTCTGAGCATCATTTTTTGAGCCTACGACTGCTTCTAGTATCAACCAATGATGAATAGAGTTGTACTGACTTGCTACACTTTGTAAGGACTCAGTGTTAAATAACCATTTATTTTGTTTCTCTTTATTTGTAGGTCAAGATGTTGTTAAATATAAAAGGCATCATATGGATGTGCTCTACATTAGCTATAACTTATATGCTACCTAAAGGTAAGTCTGTTATGTATGGAATAATTTATTAAAATTAATTCCAGTGACAGCGGGAAGGAGCACAGTCCAATTGGGAAAGTACTTCCCAGGACTGGGGAAATGTGTTTTCTGATTTTATCTCTGTACTGTGTAACTAATTTTGTTCCTTTTTGCCTACTGATTTACATAGAAAACTTCTGGTGGTTGAGCATGTTTTTGGCAAGGTTTTTACACAGTTTGTGTCTCCTGAGGTTTGTCAGTGCCATTACTATAATTCGAGTAATGATAAAGACAGCGTGATAATGCGATAAAGACATTAGAAAGCATAAAGCGAAACAGCTTGCCTTCTTCAAATGTTCAGGAATGTGACTTAACTGCTTTAACCTCTGTTTGTGAAATGTTGGGCCTGTTTGTCAGATATGTCTCATACCTTCATTTGGCATGGCCTACAGAGGAGTTCCCCTGCATGGGTGAAGTGGGGAGTATTGGAGGGGATAGTTTTGGTGAAAAGCAAACAGTTTCATGAGGGCTTCAGCACTGAGAAGTGCCAGTGCATGAGAGCAAGAGCAGCTTGCTGCTACACACCTAGTCAGGCTGCAGAGGTCGCAAATTAAGTGGGGGAGTCTTGGATCTACACGAACAGCTGGGCTGCACATCCACCAGTCAGATCCCAATGCATGCATTCATGTTATTGATATGACAGCAGCCTTATGAGTTTGTATGTCTCTGACACTCTCTATATTCAGGGTGAAAAGTGCCACATACAAGTGAGATATAGAGAAACCAAGAACCCCAGTCTCTGCCTGCCTCTGTAATAACAGAAGAATGAGCCTAAGGAGGCATGCTTTTGGGGTCGCCAGACCCTCCGTGGTGGGGGCTGCTGTAGGCCAAGCTGGTTGGAAGCTGTGGCAGTCTCCTGGCTGCTGGGACCTGGAACCAAAACATCTTAAAGCAGCTGCAGGTGTTAGCTTTGGATAGAAAGTAGGAGCCCTGTTTACTTCTCATGGTGATTACGTGTTAAGCTGAAGTACATATTCATATATGATTGTATGGTTTGAAACTTTTGACTCAAAATTAGTACAGAGCAGGTCCCTACAGCAGCTGCAGACTCCGAAAATTGGAATGATGGTTTTCCCAAGCCTCAAATCAAGACAATTTTTATTCTACTTTCTTCTTCTCAGGAGCCTTTGGAAAATCGGATATACTCTTTATACTTTTCTTTTTTTTTTTTGACTTTTTTTTTCTTTTTTTTTATTTTTTATTTTTTAGCTCTTATACTGTGTATAGCAAAGTTCTTTCTTAGGTAGTTTTTCCTGTAAGATAAAAACTGTTTTGCTTAAGTGTTGACTTTAGAAGAAAAGATGGTGGGCCTTTTTTTTTTTTTTTTTTCCTTCACTTGGGTTGGGAGCACTATCCTTCTCTGTTTCCTGTCATCCCCTCCTCCTTAAATCTAGTTTTGTTTCTCCATTCTTTACTAAACACACAGCAGACCAAGACAATTAGAAGACATTCTCAGAGGAAATGGACTCAAAGCTTCAGGGAGGGGCAAGATGCTAAAACTAAGCTTCCATTTTCTCATTTATTGAGGGCTGAAACTCATTTGGTTATTAAATGTCAAGCTTTTTTTCTTTCCATTTTTTACTCAATAAAATCTGTAAATGTACACTGCTGTACAGCTCTTTGATCTGCAGGCATTTAATTATTTGTTCATATGAAGTATTCTAGAAGGCAAAGCAAGTGATTGTCAGAAGAAATCATGGACCAACAATGTCAGTTTATATAGGGAACTTAAAAATGTTTATTTGATAAGTTGTAGCATTATTAGTGAGCTTTAAAATGGAGTAAATGCTTGTACATCACTCATGGGATGAGAGGTATGAAGTTAAGATTTTACCTGATAATCAACCTTTGGGAGGAGAGCATGTAAGAAGAGGATAAGTAAGACAAATGAATCTGACATTGTATGTAAAGCTGACATTTCTATTACAACCTACTGAAAATCTGATCATGTTTATTTAGGGCATAATTCAGTGGTCAGTCTAATCTCACATACATCGTTTAGCACTACATGGGGTAGTTCTTCCCCTTCTCCGTACCCTGGTGCTGGCTGACATGTATTTCTTTGTGTTGACAGTACTTATGGGCATATCTGTCCAGCTCAGTCAGATAAATGACTTGTCTGAGAGACATCGGATAAGTCTTTTTGCAAGTTAGATCAGATCTTTGATCTGCCTCACTGATTTACGCAATTACCTGAGCTGGTAGAATTAGGGAATTAGGAGTGCATCAATATTTGTGGAGAGGTGAGACTGAAGGAATGACACCATTAGATGCCCCTCAACTTACTCCACTTATCATCACCTCTGAAATGGTTTATAAATTGTTCAAGTGATTTCCAGAAAAAGAATTTCAAGAACACAAGTGTTCTGTGAATGTGCTGGTGTGGTCATCTTGGGAATACAGACCAAGTTCTGACTTGTCCTCATTCACTTGAAATTTTTGGAAAAAGTGCAGAAAAATCTTTGTGTTCCTAGAAATATATTGTGGACTTCATGGGTTTTATTTTTGAAGTTGAGTATCACACTTTAGCCTTAGAGATTCTCAAATGGGAAGTTCTTCAGAATATGGTCATGCTGAAGAGGAAAAAGATAAGGTAAACTTTAATGTGAATTAATCCAATAAAGTCTGGGCTTGATCCATATCTTTCTGTTTTGTAGAAATAATAGTAAGTTTATGTAATAACTTTTCTGAGGATTAATATTGCAAGGTCACAGACAAACCTTTCCAGTCCTGCTGTTTAGAACAAAAAGAAACAACAACAACAAAAAAAACCCTTTAAAATAAAACCTCTGTTTGCATTTTGAAAGTTAGACAGGAATTTCTTAGATTTTGATTTTTTTTTTTTTTTAAATCCTGAATTTGAATGAAATATTGATGCCTTGAAATCTTTTGTGAAACACAGATTCCCATACTCTCTGTTCCCAAAACGGGTTTGGTTAACCATATGGGTTGATTGAGTAGTCACTTGCCTATGATTAATGGCAGTGTATCCCTTTGGGTAAAACTGTTCTGAAAGCTTAGATTCATTCTTTTGAAACTCGTATAGAAAATTCGTCAAAATCGACAGTTATTTTATGAAAGAAATAAGCTTTGGCAAGATGGCATTTTCTGCTAAGAAAAATGTTGTGTTGAAAAATTTAAATATCAATTGAGAATACTAATGTTTGAAAATGTGTACTGTTTAGAGGCTAAACTATCCAGTCTGTATTGATCATCTGTCATTCAGTCTGATGTTTGATTTTGGCATCATTGATTCCGTTGCTTACTGAAGCACTTCCTTTTCTCTTCCAGTAGCTCCAAAAGGCTTTCTTTGGAAGTTCCCCCAAACCCCTCTTTTCAAAAAACAGACAAACAAAGTTATTAATTCTGGAATCCAAGAGATTATTAGGTTATAGAATCATAGAACTGTCAAGGTTGGAAAAACCTCCAAGATTATCTAAACCAACCATCCATCTACCACCAATATTGCTTTACTAAAGCATGCTCCTCAGTATAACATCTAAACGTGTTCATCCAAATGTGTTTCTTGAACACACCTGGGGCCATGACTCCACCAGCTCCCTGGGCAGCCTGTGCCCAACCAGCACCTGACCATGCTTTCATAGAAATCTTTCTTGATATCCAACCTGAACCTTCTCTGATGCAACTTGAGGACATTCCCCCTTGTTATTTCTAGTCTGGGGGAAAAGAGGCTGACCCCATCTTGCCACTGCCTCCTTTCAGGCAGCTGTAGAGAGATTAAAGTCTTCCCTGTGCCTGCTCTTCTCCAGACTGAACAATCCCAATTCCCTCGGCCACTCTTCGTGAGATTTGTGCTCCAGATCCCTCACCAGTTTCACTGCCCTTCTCTGGACGACATGCTGTGGTGCATGTGAAGGATTAATTGATAGAAATTCATGAGCAAGGTTTGCTCATGACACCTACTCTTGGCCTGCCATTTACTCACTTTGAACTAGCTGGTGTTAGAATTCTCTGGTTTACAAGCTGGACCCAGTGATTATGATCATTGTTGAAGTTTACCTCTCTCATTATAAGCTGCTATTTATCATGTCACGAATAAGTGTGTTTTTGTGAAAGCCCTACAATCCAGAAGAGAATACAAACATCTTAGGTTACAGTATGTGATAATGTCCTTTTGAAGGTACAAATAATATACATCAACTTGGCATATCATGTTAATATTATACGTGCTCTAGAACACGTGTGCTTGCTTATAATATTTGCACATCTGTATGCATGTTACACTAAGACAGCAGATTACCTTGTAAAGAACTTGAGTGAGGACTTTATTGGTCTTGGTCTTCTACAACCTCTGCTATCAAAATTTCATACAAATTTGTAAAAGCTGTGCGTTACGTTTTAGTTTTTCAGTATCTTTATTAAAAAAATGATGGTTAACGAAAAGACATCTCTTAGGCTCAGTATTACTCGTTAAAGTAACAGTACACAATTTCATTGGTCTTTGCAATTTTTCTTGACAGGAAATATATCCTGTAAGTACATTGATTACAAACAATTGCACAGAGAATTCTAAGGAACTGCTTTGTGCTCAAGCAAGAAGTAGTTTGTGTCCAACTTCAAGAGAAACATATAAAAACACATGTCATTGGTAAGATAAGGCATGTAGGGAAAAATATTCATATATACTGTCATTTCCATGATAAATTGATTAAAATGTCTTAGCTATAGGTTTGGGGAATATACAGCATTGTTTAGTCTGTGAAACCCCTACCCTGACAGGACTGTTTCCTGTCAGGATACTGTATGAGAGATCTTCATTCTGTTCCTGCTTCTTATTCTGATATTGAACCTATTTAATATTTAAATTGAGGAAGACATAAAAACCCAGCTGCTAAAACACAGAGTCTGCTGATAACCTGACTGCATGTCATGCTCTGGGCTTGAATCTGCTGTCCCATCATCTAGTACAAAGCTCTCGTTGACTTTACTGGCAGTTCTTGAAAGATAGATCTGTAGCCAGATTACTTGGACTTAACTGTGTATTTTGTTTCTTTATTGTCTATTTTCCCTAAGGACTTATATATGCTCAAGAGTGATGCATTTTAGTTAGTAAGAGAAAAGAATGCTCATACCATATCTCATTTAAGAGTTATCAGTGTTTTAGGTTTTACTTGGGTAGATGGTGAAGACATGGTATGAAACAACGTTCAGTGCTAGGATTGCTCTTCGCTGATGATTGGGTAAATACCTGCTTTTCTCAGCTCATATTCAGATTTACAAACAGTTAGAAAATATTTTGTTTGCATTTTGTTGACTGCATCCCTTCTAAGGTACAGTCTGTCTCAACTGGCTTGGACTACTGAAGAAACCAAGTTTTTGAAACTGAATGAGAATATTTCTTAATCTTCAATACAAAGTTTTTCTCCCCTTTTCTCATCTGCTTGTCAAACCAGAGTGCTTTTAAAAGCGCTTCATAGTGCTTTCTACAGCTAGATGAGTTTGTAGGTACATAGTTTTTGCCTTATTCTTGGATGTAGTCCAGTTTAGGGTAGATCTAATTTGCATATCATTATGATATCTGTTTGCTGTCAAGGGTTTCATTCTACTGATGAGAAGACACAAATTCTGAAGAGGAAATTTCCTCAGGGTTTGGTACTGATATTCTAGATCACACATAACTGAAAACAACGCCTTTGAAAGTTTATTAAAATTCTGTCAGTCAGCGTAATTATAAGTAGATCATTTTTCATTTAAGAAGTTCCTGTAATGTATATAGATGACAAGAGATCATAATAAAAGCTAAATATTTTGAAACTGATTTAATCTCCCACCTGTGCGATTTGGCAGTTTTTCCATCACAACTGATAGGATTGAGTATTCATTCTATTTCTCTAGCTCTACCCAAATGTAATTAAATAAAGTTCCAAGAAATTAAAGGTGATACAAGAGTTAGTGATGTTTTCCTACTGTAAATCTTGGGATAAAACCAGCCCACTATGGTGTTTAGCAATCAGTTCTAGGGAAGTCAGGTTTTTAGTTCTTTTTAAACAATATCTGACTTCCCCAAATTCTTGTTTCAGTATCTTTTTTTAAAGAAATGTGTTTGCAATCAAAGCTTTTGAGCTAGTCTATAGTCTTCAGTAACTTCTGCAGGCTTGTCTTAAAGCCTTGTGAATTGTTCAGTCCTAGTTATATGTTGGTCCTGTTTTTGTCATTCACTGTTTTATAAATACATCCTTTCTAGATCTTTCTCAAGTTGTGTTTGTTCAACATGAGTTGTAGTATCTCACCAATCTTTGCTTGTAAGACTGAAAATTTCACTACATGCCTGAATCAAAGCGAAAAATCTTGCTGGTAAATCAGCTCAGTTCTGTGTGAACTTTTCATTTGAGCTTTGGATGCAGTGCAGCTGTATTGGCAGAATGCTACACCATTGTTGTTAGACTCTCTCTGGTCTAATCAGTTCTGATAAAGCTAGCTTGAGTGTTTCTGCACTAAGTTCCCAAGAATCTTAACTTAGGTAGGTATGAATGGAAACTATTTGAAGACTTCCGTTCCAACTTCTTGGTCATCCTTGGCTGGGCCAGTATTTTTCTGGCTACGACTTTGTTGTAAAAATGTATGACTGTCATACTGGTGATTATTGAATATTTTTGTAGATGTTACTATTAATGTTTTATTCTCTATGTGATGTGCATCTGTTAAAAATCATCAGCTTAATAGAAAGTTTTTCTTTTTTTTTTCTTTTTCTCCTTCTCTCCTGTTTTTCTTTCAAAATACTCTCCTCTTTATAGTGTGATGATGTTTTTGAAGGTAACTAAATAACTAGATAACTTTTCAAGTACTGGTATCTCATATTTCATGCTGGTGCCTGGTATTTGAAGATATTTTTTGTTTCTAAACTTTATGAATTCTACCTGACTTCAAATTAATGATTAGCATTTTCAACCTTTGAAAAAATGTTTGCAGGTCAGTGAAAGAGGACATATACATTCTATTATATGACAGCCTTTAATCTTCATTAAGCCATTAAATATGGTGAAATAACATCACATAACAACATAAATCTAACAGAAATCCTGTTTTCAGACAGTTGCTGTGTGCAGGTTGGATGAACAGTAGTCAACTTTCCCCTTGGGATATTGTCAGATGGAAGCATTTCACTGTAAAGTGTTTGCAGCTGGAGATGTCATAAAAATGATAAAGGTCCTATCAAGTCAAGCTTGAGCCAAGCAGGGACTTTCTGTGTGCTTTGCTTCCTTCTTTGCTTTAACATCTTAAAATACCCCATTTCTGTAATGTGTTAAAGGCCCCTGGGCTACAAGGAAATAATTTTGAAAGAATGACAACTTAGGATAATGAAAAGGCTTTTGTTTCAGCATGTATACAATAAAAAAAGTTAACCCTTGAAAGAGAAATGGAATAAGGAAGGCAGTGTATGTAAAGTCTTGGGCTGTGTTTTACTTCTACTACATGAGCATATGAACAGGCTGCTGTAAGGTAAAACAAAGTGTAAACATCACTAGCTCCCCTAAGTGCTTAGTTTTGGCCAGCAACAAATGTGAGATATCTGGTTGTCTTTCAACAACTGGTTTTAGTCTGGTGAAGTTTGAAAACATAGCTCTTACAATTCAACTGTCATCTGTAACCTTCAAAACAGTTTCCAAAGGAAGCCAATACCAATCCTTGCTACAGTCAGTGACTAAGACAAGTGGAAAAAACAAATCAAAGAGCAGTGAATTAATTTACCCAGACAGGAAAGAGCTCAGTCAAGGGCTGAGGATGTTGGTACAGACTCTGTTTTGGCTTACTCTGGTCAGATCTGTTGTGAACCAGCTAGAGTTCAGGTCTTAAAAGTCTGTTAATTATTAAATAGTGATGAAATGTAAGTGTTTCTGATTTTGCTGGTTGCTAATGTGATATATCCTTTCTCTTCCTCTCTCCCATTCTTCTAGTTAAGGCAGAAAAAAAAACCCTGGTGAAGGGATCCCTCTCTGGAACGTCAGTCCTTCCATGCTTCTTTTCAACCACACCCACCATAGCCTCCAGCTACGCAGCCGAGTATCTTCGAATCAAATGGTCAAAGGTTGAACTGGATAAAAGCGGAAAAGATGCAAAAGAAACCACAGTCCTTGTGGCCCAGAATGGGAACATCAAAATAGGCCAGAACTACAAGGACAGGGTGTCAGTTCCAACCCATTCAGAGGAGACCGGTGATGCTTCACTGACTTTCTCTAGGCTGCGTGCAAGTGATGCAGGGGTGTACCGCTGTGATGTGATGTATGGAGTTGAGGACACACAAGGCATTGTATCGCTGGCTGTTGATGGTAAGAATTCATTTATTTCATTTGTAGTCAGCAGTAATCCCAGTCAAACCGGTAACAGCTACTACTTATAACTACAAGGCATTCACATGACCAGTTTTAGGAAATTGTTCTTCCTTCACTATTGACTTGTTCCATTCTCTTTTTGATTATTTTTAAGATTTTTTTCCAGCCCATATTTTTCTCATTTCTCCTGCACATGTTCTGGGAGGATACTCTTGATTCACAGAGCAAATGCTGTTCACTTGTCCCAGTAGCACGCTGATTGGTTTTATATCCTTTACAAGATGAACTCCTGTTTTCACAATTACTTTTTTTTTTTTAGCAAGTACCTCTAAAGTTCTCCAAAACCAGTCTTTTTGAACCATAGTACATAACATAATACATCTATCTGAAAATGTGTCTTTATAAGAAGATAGACTTGGCAGGCAGAAGCAGTTTCTTAATAATTGTTTCTGTAGGATGAAAAGAAGCAACTGCTCTGCTCTACTGGAGCTCTGGTTGCCTTCTCTTGCTGCTTGGCAGTGGGAATGTAAACTGTCTAACCTCAAACAGCTCTTTCTGTGATAGAAACATCAAGCACCAAGGAAGAGTTTATCTCCATAATAGCAGTTGGATAGCTAAGAAAATCACCTGCCAAAAGCTGCAGGAAGACAAGTAGAAGGGTGCTATTATTCTTCCATGTGGAAGACTCAGGCCTAAGAGTTGGCATGCAAGCACCATAAGGAAATAGCCTCCAAAATTTTGGGGAAGAGAATTGTGCTTGTAAAGAAGCACAGGAAAGAAAATTTTAAATAGAGTGTTGGTGGCAAAAGTAGCACTGATCTATTGGCATTTTTCTCCTAAGTTCCTGCTTATACCCATGTGCAGACTGCTCCAGAGCCTGATGCCCTGCCAGTTTGGCACCAAGCCTGAACTATTAAACTGCTGAAAAGCAGGACATGTTAGCCCAGGCACTGTGCCATGTGAATTCTGGACCAAAATTACTCTGAAGAGCACTGGGCTGTATGGATGTACCAGCTTACATGAGCGTTGGTTTGGGCTCTACCTTGCACTTCTCTGCATTCAGGTGTTTTTTTGAAACTTAGGTATTTACTCAAGTGACTGAGTCCCAAAACAAACATTAGGATCTTCTGTTGGAAATCATGACTTTGGCTAAGATTTTTTGTAAGCTTAATACTATATTGTTCTTTCACTATGCCTAACCTAACTTTAGCAGTCTTTTGGCATCTGTTCAATGAAAGGTTTTGAAGGTGTGGTCTTAATTTGGAAATACAATAAATCAATGTAACCATTAATGTTTTTTTCTAACTTCATAAGCTGTGTAGTCTTAATGGCAAAAGCAAAAGAAATCCTGGTTTGAACATTATTTTTCAGTAATGAATATACCTGGCATTCCTTAGCCCTTTAAAGCACTCCCTTGGCTATGTATCTGTATCCAGGAGCAGCAGATGTTCACTACAATAAAATATCAGATGATTTACAGCAATACTTTAGCTTGTGTTACTGCTGCTACAGTACACTGCAATGAGATGCACAGTTCAGATCTCTTTTAAATGAAAAGAAAATTTCAAACACAGCATTTTCTTTCTGAAGCTACTCTTTTTTGTCGTTTTTTGCCTTTGATGTCAAAATTTGGAGAACAGAACAAGCTGTATCTTCATACACATGGTAAAGTAACATTGTTATCATCTGTGCACTTGATTTTCCATTTTCTATATAAACAAATATAATTTTTCAGACTTGTAAAAATTTTATATTAATGTTGTTGCTTAATTTTTGTACCCTTACTTCAATAAGCCTTCAGCATTTTTGAGACTTCAGCTATTATCTTAAAAGAAAAAAAAAAACAAACCAACAAAACCAATTGTATTAGTCACAAACATAATTTATTTTGATGATGTCATCTTTTTGAATCTGTGCCCTGAAATAATAACAATTACTGAAAGAGAGATGTGTGTTCTTTGTGTGTTCTTCATCACCTGTTGTTAGCAGTTAACATTATTGAGAAATCTTCTTTATGTGTTAATTGTGCTAATTTCTGAGTTGAGTACTGGTGTGGCTCAGCACTGCTTTGGTCTGCTCTTCCAAGAAGACCTGCAGGTGATGTTGCTTGTGTGAAGCTGAGTAAAATTATCACTCATTTTGCTAATGTGCATATTTTATGATCATGGAATGAAAGATAAAATGCGTTTGTGTAGCACTTAATCTCTGGGGTCTGAACAAGCACCTTTTGCTTCACCTTTTTAGTGAATTAAAAGTGTGTAGACAAAGCAGTTATTATGACTGTGAACATTGCAGTAAACTTCTTGATTGTGTAGATGAACCCAACATGACTAACTTGTTGGAGGCTTTTGCCAGCTTCACTCTGGGGACAATTTAGAGATGGGAAGGAATGCTTCTGTGATGCTTTGGGAAGCATAGAATCTTAGAACTGTGGAATCATAGGATGATTTGGGTTGGGAGGGACTTCAAGAATCATCAAATTCCAACTCCCCTACCACAGGCATGGTTGCAAGTCATTAAATCAAGCACTAGACCATGTTGTCCAGGGCCCCATCCAATCTAGCTTTGAACACCTCCAGAGAAAGGGTATCCAAAATCTATCTGGGCAGTCTATACCTGCACCTCACCACCCTCTCAGTGCAAAACTTCCCCTTGACAAACAATCTAAATCCTCCCTCCTCTAATTTAAAACCATTCCCCCTTATTCTATCACTATCAACCTTTGTAAAAACTTGATTTCCCTTCTGATTATAATCTCCTTTTAAATATTCTATTTCAATTATTTTAATGCCAACACTGTTGTCTGTGTTAAATCAAAGAATAAATTAAGGAGAAGTTGTAGCAACATAGAACCAAAAGGACATGCTTGATCGCTTGAAAACTTATTCCTTTGGTGTTACAGATCACCATGTTACATGTTGTGTTATATACCTTCATTAATGCCCAAATTGAGCAGGGATTACTATTTGAATGAGTTGTCAGGCACTTTGCATGTTATGTCCCCAAAATCATAGAATCACAGAATGGTGTGGGTTGAAAGGAATGTTAGAGACCATCCAGTTCCAAACCACTCCAAGTGCAGGTTGCTACCCACCAGATCGGGTTCCATCCACACTAGCCTTGGATGCCTCCAGGGATGGGACACCCACAGCTTCTCTGGGCAGCTGTGCCAGGGCCTCATCACACTCTGAGTGAAGAATCACCATGTAATATCTAATCCAAATCTCCTTTATTTTACTTTAAAGCTCCTCCCCTTGTTCTATCAGTATCTGCCTATGTAAAATGTTGGTCTCTCTCTTGTTTGCAATTTCCCTTAAAGTACTGAAAGAACACAATGTGAGGTCTCCCTGGAGCCTTCTCTTCACCAGGCTGAACAGTCTTAGCTCCCTCAACCTTTCTTCGTAGGAGAGGGGCTCAAGACCTATGATCATCACTGTAGCCCTCCTCTGGACCCACTCCAGCAGTTCATCTTTTTTGTCCTGAGGTCTTCAGGCCTGTTTGCAATTAGGGCCTAATGAGGGCAGAGGGGAACAACAACCTCCCTTTCCCTGCTGGCCTCTCCTCTGTTGATTCAGCCCAGGATATAGTTGGCTTTCTGGGCTGCAAGGGCATTGCTGGCTCTTGTCCACTTTTTATCCACCAGAACCCTCAAGTTCTTCTCAGCAGGCCTGTTCTCAATTAGTTGTTCTTGCAGTCTGTCCTCATATTTGGGATTGTCCTAACCCAAATCCAGCACCTTACACTTGGACTTGTTGAATTTCAATATCTTCCCATTGGACATCTTCTCCTGCCTGTCTACATCCCTTTGGATGGCTTCCCTTCCTCTTGTTGTATCAACTGCACCATTCAGTTTGATGTCATCAGCAGGCTTGCCGAGGGTGCACTCAGTTCCACTGTCTATGTCACTGAACATCAGTAGGGCCAGACTGCTGTACCCCTCATTACTATTTTCAATGGTGAGACTGAACTGTATCCCTCATTACTATTTTCAGTGGTGAAAGCTTAAGAGAGAAGTGTGAAATACTTAATTTTAATTGTACAGGAAGCTGTAGGCTACCACCTGGATACCATATTTAGTTAATGGCAATTATGGGTTCTCCTTGAGGCTGGGGAGGGAGCCTGCATCAACTGCTCAGCAGTGTTACATAGTTTCATCATGCTGAATACCTCCTTTTCCATTACTAATTGTAAGAAAAATCTTCCCTTACACCCTACTTGTTGCTACAATTAAATCAACTTTTCAGACAGGATGATTTTTTTGTTCATAGCAGACCTAGCAGTCTACAGTATTATGCACTTGGACCTCTTACAAAAAGTGGAACATTCAGAACATTCATATTTGCTTTTCATTTGAGGTGATGTCTCCTCTTTACACTGTACTGTTTGAAAATTTCTTTTTCTTGTGTGCGGTTCCTCCTTTTCAGCTGTTGTAATTTTATCTTTCTATGGTGTTTTGAGCTTATCTTTAGGACCCTTTTTGTAATTATTAAACCCAGATCATAAACTCTGTCCTGTTAGGAGTCCAAAGCAGTTGGACTTGATCTTTATATGTACTTTCCAACTGAATTATTCTATTTTACTATTACTGTCTTTGGAAACCTATTTTGCCATTGTTCTTAGTTTCTTCCCTGTTGCTGTTACTGAACATCAAGAGATTTCCAGTACAGTGCCTTAGCTGGCACTGAGCTGTCTCTCCATTCCCACTTCAAGCTGCTTTTTGAAACAGATGAAGTTTTACCTGCAACCCAGTATAGATACTTGGATAGAGATAATGTAGAGGTTGATTGCCAGCAGGCAATGATCTTCAGGTCTTCTGACCATCGTCCTTGAGTGTTCAGCCACCCACTAATAGTTTATCAAGTTTCACAGGTGTGCTGGGTCTGAAGTCAGAGTAGAATTTATTTTCAGTGATTTAAAGTTGGATGCCTAGCACTCAGCTCTTTTCTGATGGGAGTTGTGGGTGAGATGAGCTCTCTAGTAGTTCTCATTCCTGTTCC